CGGCATCACAGCTCACAGCAACATCAAACTCTTGGGCTTAAGCAATTCTCTTGCTCAGCCTCACAAGTAGCTGGAACTATGGGCACCTGCCAAAATGTCCAGCTACTTTTTCTGTTTGTTTGTTTGTTTAGCAGGCCCAACTGGGCCAGGTTTAGAGGGTCTTGCTCTTGCTCAGGCTAGTCTCAAACCTGTAAGCTCAGGCAATCCACCCAACTTGGCCACCCATAGTGCTAGGATTATAGGCATGAGCCACAAAGCCCGGCCCATACAAATTTCTTAGCTCATGTTACTTTTTCAGCCTGGAATCAGATGTATACCTTTTCTAAACAAGTATCTACCTTTTCTAAACAATTATCATCCTTCAAAGTCCAGATCAAGGGACTCCCCTTTACAACAACTTCTTGGATTTTATAGGCAGAATGGACGTTCTTACTTTGGAACCTTTCTTTGTAACTTGTGTGTGCACATTCAATTACAATTTAATAGTAAATAATAGTAACTTAATAGCAGCTAACTTGAAAATTTTATTGTATATTCTCTCATTTAATTCATACAAGCAGGAGGTGAGAACTATTTCTATTTCCAAATTCAGAAACTTGCTTAAGGTCATAAAACTAATGCATAGCAGAGCTAGCCAAATACTCTAATTCCAGAGTGTGCATTCTTAACCTCTATTTGCTGTATTTCTTCCTTAGCTTATAGTATACTTAAAGACTACATAAAATTCTCTAATTGAAAAACAGAACATAGGGAACTACAATTCAGTTGATCATTACTTTAGATATAAAGTTAAATCCATACCACATTTAAAATAATACATTTTTAAACTGTAATTAATTATAGACATCATTCTAATGTTATGCTGAGTTATTAATAAATGTCCATTTCAAAATAAATCAGTGTTTTATAAGCATAATAGAATTTTAGCTTAGAAAAACAAAGGGTACCAAGACACTGATAGCCTTCTTTCAATAATTTCAGAATAATATTTTCAAAACAAGGTTTCCTTTTATGAAATATTACACATCAAGTCCCTTGATACTTTGTAGAAAATAAGATATTTTTCCTAGAAACATATCAATACTATTCATAAAACAACATAATATTTTAATTTTGACTCTGCTCTTGGTGAAATGTATCATACAGTTTTTAAAACCTAAAGCTAATTCATTCTTCTAAAATTATTTGGAGTTTACTAGCTAACTAAAAACACATGCATCCCTAGAGACTAAACTAAAATACCGGTACCGTAAAAACATCTAAATGTAGAACTTAAAATGCCTTACATTTTCGTTTCTCTTGAGAAGATCTTCATCATTGTAAAGAGGCAAGCTTGTCACCATCCATCCAGTGCATAATTTAATTACACCCATTAACTGTGGGCTCCCTGCAAACACAGCTGTAACTGGAGCTTGCCTTCTGCAAAAGGACCATAAAGATTTACACACTGAAAAGGCAAGTATACCATATAGATCACTGATTTATATCAACTTTGAAGCACCAGGCAACGTACAATGTATCATACACTTAAGTTGTCATACCAGTTTTCATTTCATTTATAGATTCATTCAAAAATAATGGAGCATCTACTATCACCAAACACTGTTCTGAGTGCTGAAGATACAGAAACTTTTAAAAAAAGATGGAGCAAGGAAGACAATGAGCAAATATGTATGTCGGCCGGTAATAATGTGATAATGCAGGGTAAAGGGATAGTGGCAAGCGTGTATTACTTTTATGTAGAGTTCAGTGGTGATGCTATGAATTCTTAAGTTTATCTGATCCATCTCTCCTCCTGCTCCTTCCTTCCCTATCTTTGCCCTTGGGCTTGTCTCAAGATAACACATATAGGACTTCTCCAATTATGATCCAAAGTCCCAGAGAAATGCCATTTTCAAGGTGGGTAACCTACAAAGAAAGAGGCCCCAAAGGGCAGCTCTAAGCCTTCAGTTACTTATTCACTCTCGGTATTAGACATTAAACACCTACCTGCTATGTGCTAGGGATAGCACAAGCCTCTAGAAATAAAGAGATGACACTTGGCCACTGTACTCGGGAGTGAGGAAATAGACACAAAACAGAATAATTATACCACAGCAACATAAATATCCTACTGTACAAATCGTTCAGGCCTTCGTGATGCTTTTGAAAATACTAGGGTAAATCATACTGAGAGATGTTACTTCCCCTTTTGTTAAAGACAACATGAAGCTGTATAGTCAGCACTCTACAATGCCAAAATAAAATTCACAAAAAAGTATTAACGGGCAATAGTTAAGTTTGATCTACACCAAGCACTTTTTACACATATAAGGGGTGTCTTTAAAGCAATGCGACATTATAGTAAAGACAATTCTCATTTTTATATACTATTGTATAAACCTATTTCTTATTCTTAGCAATACGTTTTGCCTTTTTTCCACCATATTTTATATTTTCCTGGTTTTTTTTTTCTTTTGAGATAAAATGTCACTCTGGTGCCCAGGCTACAGTACTGTGGTATCACCCTAGTTCACAACAACCTTAAATCCTTGGGCTCAAGCAATCTTCCTGCCTCAGCCTCCCAAGTAGTTGAGACTACAGGCACCTGCCATGATGCCCAGCTAATTTTTCTATTTTTATTTATTTATGTATTTTTTAAGACTGAGTTTCAGTTTGTCATCCTGGGTAAAGTGCCATATGTGAGTACCATAGCTCACAGCAATCTCAAACTCCTGGACTCAAGTGATCCTCTTGTCTTAGCCTCCTGAGTATCTGGGACTACAAGTGCCTGCTACAATGCCTGGCTATTTTTTTTCAGAGATGGGGTCTTGCTGTTGCTCAGGCTGGTCTCAAACTAGTGAGCTCAAGGGATCTTCCCGCCTTGGTCTCCCAGAGTGCAAGGATTACAAGTGTGAGCCACCACCAGGCTTTTTTTTTTTTTTAATTACTAGTGTTTCATTCCTTTTCATGGTTTCATTTATTCGTTGATGTCTTTAATAATCTCTCTTTTTTTTTCTGAGACAGAGCCTCAAGCTGTCCCCCTGGGTAGAGTGCTATGGCATCACAGATCACAGCAACCTCCAACTCCTGGGCTCAAGCGAGTCTCCTGCCTCTGCCTCCCAAGTAGCTGGGACCACAGGCACCCGCCACAATGCCCAGCTATTTTTTGGTTGCAGCCATCATTGTTGTTTGGCGGACCCGGGCTGGGGAGTCGAACCCGCCACCTTAGGTGTATGTGGCTGGCGCCTTAGCCACTTAAGCCACAGGCGCTGAGCCTGTCTTTAATAATTCTCAATGTAGTTATTTCATAATCTTCCATAATCTATACTTAAGGAATAGGCTGGTTATAAAATATGGCCACAATAATTCTTCTCTGTATAGTCATGGTCTGAGAGGGAACACTGATCTTGGTCATGGGATTTGCATAGGCCAACACAATGATAGCAAACTTAGTATAAGCAGAGACTTAAACATGCTTGACATTGAGACCCTCTCTTGCTGCTCATGGGAACTATACAACGACTACCTTGTGAACAAACATGGAATAACCTGATAGGTGATAAGAGATATGGGACCAAGTCAATTTGACCCCCTCAGCTGACACCTAGCCAACCCTAGTCTAATCCAGACTATTCAGTACAAGTTGAGATGTGTCACATCAGAATCCTCCCCATTGCCTCCAACCTCCTGACCTTCAAAATGGTGTGAAATAACAAGCGTTCATTGTTTGTAAGCCACTAAGTTTTATGGTAGTCTTATGTAGCAAATGCTAAATGATACAAACAAATTGTATAACCAGAAATTGCAATAGGTCAATTCTGCTGTTTATCACAAAAAGGGCTGATACTTGGCTATGCTGAATTGTTTCCTCGTCTGTTTTGTAATTTGGGGGTTCAATTTCATGAAACATCATTTACTGATTTCTTTGCAGCCTGATTTGAGGATGTATGATGCAAGCCCAAAATGATTTATTATGTTAATTTCTTGAACTGGAGCTTCCAAGATTAGACATATGTAACTTTTTTTTTTGGCCGGGGCTGGGTTTGAACCCACCACCTCCATTATATGGGGCCAGTGCTCTACTCCTTGAGCTACAGGTGCCACCCAGATTAGACAGATGTAATTTCAAGCTATGAACCCACATGAATTCAGATCTATTGCTACAAATTCAGGGGGGAGACATTTTTAGGACCACGAGCTGAAGCAAAGAAATACATGCTTTCTTACCCTATTTCTCTACCACTTGGTGCATATTTTGCTATTCCATCTTTTCACCGACAGTGTAGCTTTTGTGAAGTCCTTGAGTTGTATTTGAGTGTGTTGGGGGTCTCAATGCCATTTCCCTGCTTCCACAGGCCCAAGACCATATCTCCTAGGCGGGACTATGGGCCTTTAGATGGGCATTAAATTCTAAACTCCTTGGTTATTAAGACTAGCAATCCACTACCCATTTACCTCCAACCTAGAACAAAAGAGGCATCCTCTTGACTATCTAAATAAAAGGATATCTGTTCTTTTTTATGTCATATTTCTAGGTGTTTGATAGTGGTAATCTCAAATCTCATATATTTTCAAGTCCATGGGGATGAGTTTATTTATAAAATTAGAATAACATCCAATAAAAAAATCCGTTAAAACAAAGAATAAAATTTCTGAATTTTGTAAGAGGAATTCAGAAACACGTTAATTTATTATTTCTCCTGAATCCATTAGATAGCATGCAATAATTAATTAATAGCTTAATAATAATCTTGGGCAGTTCATTTCTTACTTTATCCAGGTCATAAGTTCCACTGTATCTGGGTCATAGACTTCCTGTAGTTCCGTTAATTCTGCCATTAATCTTGGAAAAAACTAAAATGCAAAACAAAATCCCCAAAAGGTGTGTATAAGTAATTAGAAAGTTTAAAATTGTTCCAGAGTATGTCAAAAGAGTAAGAAACTAACTTAGGCCAAATGATACCCTAACCCTGTTCTCATGGGAAAAAAAAAGTCAGGGATCTCTTTGTTTTCTTTCAATAACCTGCTTTTTATTCTCAATCCAAATTATTTAGCCTATGGCTAATTCACTGCCTAGACTCCATAAATAATTTTGTCATTACCAAACAATGATACAATAATCATCAACTTTCATGCACACACTCTAAACACATAAATATTACACATTTAGTGCAAACAGGTTTCTTTTCTTTTTTTTAGAGACAATGTCTCACTTTACCGCCCTCAGTAGAGTGTCATGGCATCACAGCTCACAGCAACCTCAAACTCCTGGCTTAGGTGATCTTCTTGTCTCAGCCCGAGTAACTGGGACTACAGGTGCCTGCCACAATGCCCAGCTATTTTTTTGTTGCAGTTTGGCCTAGCCGGGTTTGAACCAGCCACCCCTGGTATATGGGGCCTGGTGCCCTACCCACTGAGCCACAGACACCACCCAATAGAAAAAGGTTTCATTTAACATTATTATTTTTTTTTCTAGAGACAGAGTCTCATTTTGTTTCCCTCAGTAGAGTGCTGTGGAGACACAGCTCACAGCAACCTCCAGCTCTTGGGCTTGGGTGATTCTCTTGTCTCAGCCTCCCAAGTAGCTGGGACTACAGGTGCTGGGTACAACGCTCAGCTATTTTCTGTTGCAGTTCAAACCCACCACCCTTGATATATGGGGCCGGCTCCCTACTCACTGAGCCACAGGTGCCATCTTCATTTAACATTATTAAGACTTTATATTACCTTATAGATACTAAAATTTTGGAGTTGTAAAAACAATTTTAAAAATTTTTATTTTTTTAATACAGGGTCTTGCTTTGTCACCTGGGCTATAGTATAAGTGTAGTGGTGTCATCATAGCTCACAGCAACCTCAAACTTCTGGGCTCAAGTGATCCTCCTACCTCAGCCTCCAAAGTAGCTAGGACTATAGACACACATCACCATGCCTAGCTAATTTAAAAAAAAAAAATTTTTTTTTTTTTGAGACAAGAGTTTCACTCTGTTGCCCTAGGTATAGTGCCATGGCATCATAATAGCTCACAGAAATCTCAAAGTCTTAGGTTCCATTGATCCTCTTACCTAAGTCTCCTGAGTAGCTGGGACTATAGGCACCTGCCACCACCTGGCTAGTATTTTTGTTTTTCTATTTCTAGTAGAGACAGGGATCTCACTCTTGTCTGGGCAGGTCTCAAATTCCTATGCTCAGCCAATCCACCTGCCTCGGCCTCCTGGAGTGCTTGGATTACAAGTGTGAGCCACTGTGCCCAGCCTAATTTTTAAATTTTCTCTACAGAAGGGATCTCATGTTGTCCAGGCTGGTCTCTAAGTCCTGGCTTCAAGTATACCTCCCACCTTGACCTCTCAAAGTGCTAGGATGACAGGCGTTAGCCACTATGCCCAGTGATTTTTTTATTAATATTCATTTATTCGGCTCGGCACCTATGGATCAAGTGGCTAAGGCACCAGCCACATACACCTAAGGTGGTGGGTTCAAATCCAGCCTGGCCTGCCAAAAACAATGATGGCTGCAACCAAAAAATAGCCAGGCATTTATTCAGCAATTTCCTCTGCCAATTAATAAATTGAATTAACAATAGCATTAGACTACAAAAAAGTACACCAGATGGTATTCTAAAAATGTTTTACCTTGTTTATCATTTCCAAATAAGAAAATTAAGCATTACTGAGAACATCACATTTTATTTTGTAGAATAGTGTATTAATGTTTCCCACCCCCACACATTAATTTATTATTACTGTATAGATAACGTATACTTAGTAATATAAAAATCTGATTTTCTTACCTCTTTCCATAAACTGAGACCTATTATAGTGGGCACAGCCATGCTCAGAGTAAGTGCCTAAAATATTCAAGCAAAAAGGATTATAGATAAAGATATTTCAGAATATACTTTAGCAGTACTAGACACTAACTCTATGATCAATCACATATCCTTATCATTATAAAAATTTCACAGAAAAGTGAAGTCGGCATGGAATCTAGTTCACAGAGTGCGATGGGTAAAGATTTATGAATTTTAGACTTATGAAGTTGGATGTATATGAAGACATACATATTTACTAAATAAACTTAAGGTAGAACATTGAAAACATAATTTCAGTAGTTCAAATAGTAAACCAAATTGGAAAGCTTTGCCAAGAATTTATGTTATAAAGATCCACAAAGAATATTGAATTGCTACATGAAAAGCTAACAACAAAAAAAGACAATAAGTTAACACAGTAAAATTGCTAATATATATCAATATACCAAATATGTTAAAATAAGAATGTAAAAAATGTTCTGGAAATATGACTGGCAATTGCCTGAGCTCATAGGTTCGAGAACAGTCTGAGCCTGAGCAAGACCTCATCTCTAAAAGTAGCCAGGCATTGTGACAGGCACCTGTAGTCCCAGCCACTCAGAAAGCTGAGGCAAGAGAATCACTTGGGCCCAAGAGTTTGAGGTTGCTGTGAGCTATGATGCCATAGCACTCTACCAAGGGTAGCCTCCCAAGTAACTGGGACTACAGGTGCCTGCCACAACACCCAGCTATTTTTTGTTGCAGTTTGGCCAGAGCAGGGTTCAAACCTGCCACCCTCAGTATATGGGGCCAGCACCTTACTCAATGAGTCACAGGCACCGCCCTCATTTTAATTTTTTAATTCAAATTCAAAGCTTCAAAGCTCTGTCTCAATTAAAAAAAAACAGATTTAGTAAAGACAGTAAAGATAATTCATTCTCTCCCTATTAAAACCTATTCTTTAGTTAAGATAGTAAAGATAATTAGTAAAGATAATTCATTCTCTCCTGTTGCGACCCGTCAGGCTCCTATGGCCCTGGTCTCGGTTAGTGCAGGAAGGAACCAGGTGAGAGGCGGACTAGAAGTACAAGCTTGTGGAAGGCGGGCTAGCCCTTACTTTCCGGGTAGCCCCGAGCAACCTCCACACCAGCCTTTTATTGAGCCAGAACAACACAGGTGAGGGGAGTAATTAACAATGACTACGTGGCCCCAGCTCTCCTTCCACAAGGAACTCCTGTGGAGGAATGACCCAAGGTCCACGCCTCAGCTGCAGATCATCTTGCTCGGATGTTATCTGGCTCTTGGCATCTCCTACGCTCTCCCTATTAAAACCTATTCTTCCTATTCTCCCATGTCTGTTGGTGACCCCACAATCCATAATCACATAAACCAGAAACCTAGCATAACCTGTGACTTTTCCTTTTTCATCATTAACTCATACTTCATCCAGCACTGAGTCTTTATTAATCTTCTTTCCTAACTGCCATATTTTGCCATATATAAAGCATTCCTGTGTATGGCAGGCACCCACATTTTTGGCCTAAACATTCAGGAAAAAAACTTTCAATTTTTTTTGTTGTTGTTAGAAACAGAGTTTCACTTTGTCACTCTTAGTAGAGTACCGTGGTGTCACAGCTCACAGTAACCTCCAGTTCTCGGGCTTAGGCAATTCTCTTGCCTCAGCCTCCCGAGTAACTGGGACTACAGGTGCCTGCCACAACACCCAGCTATTTTTTGTTGCAGTTTGGCCAGAGCAGGGTTCAAACCCGCCACCCTCAGTATATGGGGCCAGCCCTTACTCAATGAGCCACAGGCACCGCCCTCATTTTAATTTTTTAATTCAAATTCAAAGCTTAATGCTCACAGTGTATGAAAATCATTTCAACATTTTTCTGAGGGATTTTCCAATAATTTTTGTAAAAATACCTGCTAGATTGCTAGTTCCCACCTAATGTGTCCAAAGCGAAATATGTGGCTCTTTGTTAGCTGAAAATGCTTTTGTTCCAAGTTCATTGTAAGTTTAGTAAAACCAATTACCATATTCTAGTATGTTATTTTACAAATGAATATCATTATTGCTTTCTAGAGTTATACTTTTTTTTTTTTTTGAGACAGTCTCACTTTGTCACCCTCAGTAAAGTGCTGTAGCATCATAGCTCACAGCAACCTCAAACTCTTGGGCTCAAGCAATTCTTTTGTCACAGCCTCTTGAGTAGCTGGGACTACCAGAGCCTACCACAACACCAGGCTATTTTTTTTAAGAGACAAGGGTCTCGCTCTTGCTCAGGCTGGTCTCCAACCTGAGAGCTCAGGTGATCCATTCGCCTTGGCCTCCTAAAGTGATAGGATTACAGGCATGAGCCGACCAAGCCTGGCCTCTAGAGTCATATTTTTAACACAAAAGCATAGGCCGGGCACAGTGCTTCATGCCTGTAATCCTACTTTGGGAGGTAGAGGTGGGTGGACTGCTTGAGCTCAGGAGTTCAAGACCAGTTTGAGCAAGAGCAAGAGCCAATCTCTAGTAAAAATAGAAAAATTAGCTGGGCACTGTGGCGGGTACCTACAGTCCCAGCACTCAGGTGGATGGGACAAGAGGATCGCCCAACATTTAAAGCTATGATGCTGCAGGACTCTACCCAGGGCATAGAGTAAGTACTCTGTCTCAAAAACAAACAAACAAATAAACAAAAACTCCAAAAAGATAAAATTAAAACATTTATGCAGATAGGGAATTAGTACTACCCATGTGTAATACACATCCTTATTTTTCCCTCAAAAATTTGTGGACAAAGAAAAAAAAAGTACACATTACAGAGCAAAATATGAGGTGCTTTTTTTTTCTTCACTTCAATATAGCATAGTACTAACTGAATGAGTTTTAGAGTCAGAAAAACCTGCAAGTGAATCATGGTTTCCATACTTATAACCTCTGTAATCTCAAGCAAGTTACTAAACCAATTTAATCTTTTTTTTTTTTCTGAGACAGAGCCTCAAGCTGTCCCCCTGGGTAGAGTGCCATGGCATCACAGCTCACAGCAACCTCCAACTCCTGGGCTCAAGCAAGTCTCCTGCCTGTGCCTCCCAAGTAGCTGGGACCACAGGTGCCTGCCACAACGCCTGGCTATTTTTTTGGTTGAAGTTGTTATTGTTGTTTTAGATGGCCCAGGCTGGGTTCAAACCTACCAGCCTTGGTCTTTGTGGCCGGCAACCTACCCACTGAGCTACGGACGCCACCTTTTAGTCTCTGTTTTTTTGTTTTGAGACAGAGCCTCAAGCTGTCCCCCTGGGTAGAGTGCCGTGGCATAAGAGCTCACAGCAATCTCCAACTCTTGGGCTCAAGCAAGTCTCCTGCCTCAGCCTCCCAAGTAGCTGGAACCACAGGCGCCCGCCACAATGCCAGGCTATTTTTGGTTGCAGCCGTCATTGTTGTTTTGGCGGGCCAGGCTGGATTCAAACCCGCCACCTTAGGTGTATGTGGCTGGCGCCTTAGCCACCTGAGCCATAGGCGCTGAGCCTAGTCTCTGTTTTTGTTTGTTTGATTACATCATGTTCTTTGTTTGCCTCTCTGCTTATTTGTTCTACCATGAATACCTTTTCTTTCCCCTTCATTTACCTATTTTATTGAATATCTTTCAAATCTCAGATTTGGAAGCCTTTGAATACTTAAAACTGAATGAAGTAGCTCTTCTCTGCGTTCTAATGGCACTCTATGAATACTTTTTTTTTCTTATGAATACTTATTATCTCTTTTTATGCTCAAGAGATGATAATCTACTAGATGAAATTAATCATGCATTTTTTAATCTATGTATTCGAAGCACATAGCACATAGTAGGCACAGCATAAATGTTCCACTCACATGGAAAACATACCATAGTTCTAAATGAAATGAAGAAAGATATAGGGTGGCACCTGTGGCTCAAAGGAATAGGGCGCCAGCCCCATATGCCGGAGGTGGCGGGTTCAAACCCAGCCCTGGCCAAAAAAAAGTGCAAAAAAAAAGAAAGATGTTATAAAAATGAAGGTTTTTTTGAAATGTTCTCATCCCAGGATCTGGGTAGAGTGTTGTGGCTCTCATAGCTCCCAGCAATCTCAAACTCTTGGGTTCAAGCAATCCTCTTGCCTTAGTCTCCTGAGTAGCTGGAACTACAGGCGGCTGCCACAACGCCCAGCTAGCTTTTCTATTTTTAGTAGAGACAGGGTCTCACTCTTGCTCTGGCTGGTCTCAAACTCCTGAGCCTCTCAAGGTGCTGGGATTACAAGCGTGAGCCACCAAACCTGCCTAAAACTTAATTTCTGGTAGTCTCTTACATTACTGATTCACTTGAGTTTTTACCTTTTATTTTTTAAGTTGTATCCACTGAAATACATAACCTTCATAATCATAAATTATTTTAAAAAATGTTTTTCACAGGATCAATTTTTCTACCTAAAAACCCATCGTGTGATTTACTCATGCTATTTCTTTTTTTTTT